TTAGTGTGTTTTGGAATAAAAGCATATCACTCATATTGGAAAACCCTGTACAAATGCATCTTTTTTAATAATAAATAAAATTAAAATGCTTATAATTACAGATTTCACACCCTGATATTTTTTTTTCTTCCTACGATCACTTTACTTTCCTCATGAAAAAGTTATTCAAAAAAGTTCCATACATATGCCTAAGGTTTCTTTAATATTTCGTAATATATTTAATGTTTTCATATAAAAGAGAAATTTTTATTTCCACATAACACAATAGTTACGAATTTAAAATACAGCGCCTTGCATATTAATTTTCCAATTATCGGCTAATTTTATAGGCTTTGCTCTGTTGCTTCCTCGTCTCAAGCCAGCATGGCTACACGCTGCAGTTACGAAAAGCCACCCAAACAATAATTTTTGCAACTGTAAATATTTTGAGCTAGCCTTACGAAAAAATAAAATAAACAGTGAAGTCATCTAAAGAGCGCTAAACGGCAGGCTGCCAACAGTCGATAAAACCGGCTTTGTACTAAAGTGCGCATGCGCCTGCATTTTTGTTTTTCCATGCAACTTTTTTCACTTGTCAAACCAAAACAAACACCCTACAAGTTGTAATAAGCAGTTCAGCGCAGGCGCGCAGTTACTTTTGGGCAGAAGAGCGACACTCTTATGACAACAGCTAATTACGGAGTCAAAAGGCAAACGAACGTAAAATGTAAAATAACAATAAAATGAGGGTATAAAAAATCAAAATAAATAGTGGACAAACACGAATGCAAACATTCAACCCAAATTCGTGGAGAAATCAAGAAGCAAACACCGGCAAGGCTTATCAGCGCCGCTTAAATGTGAGTCGCGCACTGCAAGCCAGCGTATCGTTGACCGCTAGTGAAGACGCCAACGATTTACTTCCACTGCTTCTTTTGATTCAATAATCAAGTCAAGCAAGAAGTAAACCTGTTGCGTGTGAATTGTATAATTCGATATTAAGTGCAACTTCCCAGACAGCGCTGTTATGCTGTTCATCTTGTGATCGCAAGCACCGCTGCCAACCGATCGCTGCACGCACATATATTGGCTATACGCACTTGTTTGCACAGAGACATATTCATATTGGCCACTGTTAGCACCAGCCAGCGCCCACCAATAACCGCCGATCAAGCATTTAACATGCGTTGTCCACATGATCGCCACGAAAGCAAAAAAACGGCAGCGTGGCGCAACGCAGCAAAAACATAAAAACTAATAATAAAAGCAAAGTAAAACAGACGCAACACAAGGCATATTTATAAATAAAAATCAATATATTTCTCGCATACACACATATAGTCGAGTACTTGGTACTCAGCCCACAGCCCAGTGCGCAAGAACGCTGCACATTCCGCAATGCCTTGGAACTCGTGTAAGCCTGCTTTCGTACTTGGTATAAAACCTATCTACAAACTGTCGATATGTATGTGTACTAGGGGGGAGTGAAAAAAATAATTTTGTTTTTTTTGCTTAGGGGCAAATTTGTAGACTATAAAAAAAAAACTTTTTTGGACAAAAAAATTTTTTTTTAACATCTAGAGGCGGCTCACTCACTTTTAAAGAAAAGTTTCGAGTTAAAATTTTTATTTCGTAAAAAAATTTTGATAAGTGTTATCAACTTAAACAAATTTTTTGTGTTCATTACTGGAGTTTAAAAAAAAAGTCTTAAACGACAATATGCTCTCCTTAAGCGTTAACATAAATTTTTAGTCAAAAACCGTCAAATTCGCTAATTTTTATATAAATGTTTTAATATAAATGTGAAGAGTTTAAACCAAAAAATTTGTTTTGTCCAAAAAAAATGTTAACTCGAAATTTCAATTTTTTTTTTAAGTAATGGGATGTTAAAAAAAAAATTTTCCAAAAATGTTCTTATTTTATAATCTACAAATTTTACCCTCACGCTAAGCGAACAATATTTTATTTCACGCCACCCTAATGTGGACAACCAATCGTAATATGTAATAATTCGTAAAGCGCGCCACCTAGCGCCTGCTTGGTCTCCATCAGTGATCGAGCGTGCGATCGTTAACACTTGTTACTCCAAGTAATAAAACCGCACAGCTTCAAAGTCGCTGCGATTTTCTCAATACCTTTAGATTTCTTTCGCGAAACGCATTCTTCACGCTCAAAGACACGCATACATAAGTACAACGAGTGTCTAGTATTATATACAATAAAAATACACGGTAGACGCACTGAGCGAACGTTACTACGAGCGACTGAGAGCATTTATATGGCAATGTGTGACTGGAGAGCTTTGCAGAAGTGAGTCTGCATACGCAATCTACGCACTTTTATATGTTGTAGACAAAACAGCGTCGAGCAGGAAAATGAACGTGTCTTCAGTGTGATCCTTCTGTAAACCTGAACAATACAACAATGCGCCGATTGCGGTCAGACACTGATAGGCGAATGCACCGACGCCATGTAAGCCACTGACCTCATTGCTTGTAGGTATTGTAATTTATAAATATGCGCACGCAAAGGGTGTTAAAGTTAGCAGTGTTGCGAATTTCACTTTTAGCAGGCTCGATGGCTAATAAACGCACAAACAAGTTAGCAAATATTGACTTGCTTTGCATTTATCGGCCTAATTCTGTTTATTTTTCACGGTTTAAATCCCGCTCACCAGTGGCGCCTAACATTTTCACTCGCCTTCCATAAAAATAAAAAAACCGCTGTTTCAGTTTCAGCAGTCGGCATGCGTTCGCTTGCTGTAGCAATTATGGGCAGATAGCTAATTTGCATGCGATAAATATTAATAGAAAATGTTAATTATAAAGCCAACGTGTGTTTGTGTGTTTATTCGTGCTGAATCGTTAATTAATTAGCTAACTTTTTTATATAGAGCCATCAAAACGAGATTGCACGATTTCACAGCATTGAGCAGAGATTTATAAATTAAATTATACATACATACAAACATACATATAAGGTACTTGATTAGACAATACACTTCTAAGTAATCCAAACTTAATTGATTGTAATTAAAATAACGGTATTAGTTTAAAACACAATCTTTTGCTAATATTTTGAATTTACACTAAAAAAATATATATTAATACCTTTCGAAAACATTTGAATAAAATTTCATTATAAAATATATTTTTAATGTGTTTAACATATTTTTCTGTAGTTAACATTTTGTTAAAATTGTGGTTGCCATATTGTTATTTGCATAAATTTGTTACGTCAAAATTTGTTTGCAGTTATTTTATACGTAATTTTGATGTAACTGTATTTTTAATCACACAAAAAATTTTAAAAATTATTTTATATAAATAAAAAATTACAAAAATATTTGAACTGTCAAAAGTATTTAAAATCAATAATTTCGTAGATTGTTCTTGATACAAATGTTGATTTAACACTTAAAACAATAAAAAAATATTAAAAAACACTAAATTTGCAAATTGTAAGAAAATGTTGTTGTAACTGTATTTTTTATCATACAAAAAATTTTATAAAAATAATTTAAATTAAATAAAAAATTGCAAAAAATTTTAAACTGTCAAAAATATTCAAAATGGTATTATTTTGTAATTTTTCTAGATCTTTCGAAGATTGTTCTTGATAAAAATGTTGATTTAACACTTAAAACATTAAAAAGCTCGAAATTTGTAAATTGAAAAAAAATGTGGTTGTAACTGTATTTTTATCCTGCAAAAAAATTATAAAAATTATTTTAAATAAATAAAAAATTACAAAAATATTTGAACTGTCAAAAATATTTAAAATCAGTATTATTTTGTAAAATTTCTAGATCTTTCGAAGATTGTTCTGGATAAAAATGTTGATTTAAAAATTAAAACAATAAAAAAAAATTAAAAAACTTTAAATTTGCAAATTGAAAGAAAATGTTGTTTTTAATGAATTTTTTATTTCGCAAAAAAATTATAAAAATAATTTAAAATAAATAAAAAATTACAAAAATGTTTAAACTGTCCACAATATGCAAAATTGGTATTATTTTGTAATTTTTCTAGATCTTCCGAAGATTGTTCTTGATAAAAATGTTGATTTCTGCTAAGAAAGCTCTGAAAGGCTTCTTTGACACTCATTCAATCACTGCCACAAGCACATACATATGCATATGTATACTAATACTTAAAAAGTGCAATTCACTTTCGTTTAAAGATTTTTGTTTTTTAATTGTTGGACCTTACGTAGTCACCTCACCTATCAACAATATTTTTTCACACCATTTAATGTATGTATGTATGTAGTAAATAAGGCAATTTACATCACGAGATGCCGCATGCCACATCTGTTCGCTATATATGTATATATATGTAGGCAACTACATACATATGTATGTGTGTATAGTGGATTTATTGATTTAAATTTAGATGACTTATTCACATTGAAGACCAACGCAACTGATTTTCTAATGGGCCAGCTGCGAAGTCGACCCTATAAATAACTTTGAAAACAAACCGTATTATTACTGAGGAAACCGAGAAAACCGAAAAAACCTTAAAAACACCTTCACCTCCTGACCGCATCACGGCACATAGGTCTCGAGACACTTTCAATTCAAATGCCAAGCTTAATTAAAAATTCTTCATTTTCTTGGCGTCAGTAACGAGTCAAGCAATGCAATATTTGGCGAGATTTTTATTTTTCGTTGGCAGCAAAATAAAATATACCACTGTTGGTTTTTTGCTCAAGTTGTTGTTGTTTGTTTTATGTCACTTGCAATCTTTTTTAACAAAATCCGGTGGGTGTGATGTCTTGTTGATGCGTTATTGGTTGAGTTCTTTGGCGGATGGCGTGATCGACGCCTGTTTCAAATGCTAAATTCGAAATATATATATAGAAACATGTGCCCACCGACTGTATTGCAACATATATCGATTTTCGCATTTTTTCGTTTTTAAAAGAGATCAACAATTAATTTTAAACATTATAATATGCAACATTTTATTTGCAATCAAATTTTAGTTTAATGTAATTTCTCTTTTTTGCGCTTTCAGCCGCTGTACCAAGCGAGTGATCTTCGCTGACGATGAGGGTCAACCGCTAACGGAGGTGCGCGTCATGTCCGAGCCCTCGAATGTGCCGCCATTGTGGAGCACGAAGTTCTTGGAGCAAATTACACAGGGCCTCGTTAGTCCACATCCGGCCGATCAATGGACCGTCGACTTCAAACAACCAGCATCCGATTACTTAACATTTAGGTGAGTACAAAGCTCGCAGGAGAACGTAAAAAAACAATTTTCATTAAAAAAATTTTCATTAAAACATTTGCACTTGTAAATTAATTAAAATAAATGTCTGCATTACAGAGAAAAAATCGATCTTGACTTTGTCTCTCTTGAAAATGTGATTGTCAAGGATGAGGAGTCCATTGTTGTAGGTACGGTGAAAGTGAAGAACATCTCTTTCGAAAAGGAAGTCGTTGTACGCGTCACATGGGACGACTGGAAAAACCAGCAGGACATATTCTGTACCTTCGCGAGGGTGAGTTCAAAGCAAACTTCGTATAAATAGTGCTTGGCACTAATTATTTTGTTTCTGTGTGTTTTTAGGCTTATGGTCCAGCTACCTATGCGCACGTCGTCTTCGATACGTTCTCATTTAAGATCACATTGCCGCCATCTTCCAAGCGTCTTGAATTCTGCATTTGCTATCGTGGTAATAACCAAGAATACTGGGATAATAATGGGGTAGGACATAATATTCATTATGCTCACATAAATATTTCAATAATTAATCATTCGTCTTTATCTACTCTTCTACACAGGGTAAGAACTATACTATCACAAAGCGTTCACCCTTCTACTACAACGCTCTCTCGCCATATGACAAGAACTCATCGCGCAATTCCTGCCGCGGTCATGTGATGTCAACACTTTCCGAAGCGCTGAGCAATTCGAAAGAGTATCAGGCACAGAAGAATTGGAGTCAGGAGTCAGGCCCCTACTGGTAAATGTCATTATAATTAAAAGCAAGCAGTCAAGCTGTTGGTGAGCAAACTTGAATGAACAGTGAAGCTAAACAAGGAAAATTTCCTCAAATTCAACAGGCAACAAAAACAGATCGAGGAGAAATATTGGTGATGGATTATAGATAGGATGCAAGTCTAACGCAGCGCTAGGAGCACAGGCTCACATCAAAAGCGCAAACAACAATGCAGTAGAAAAGAATCTGACATAAATGCCAATAAAGAACAACTAGATTAGATGCAGCAACAATTACAAAAACAAGCAATAACAAATGAAACCCCAAAGCAAGACAAATGTACGCACAAGAACGCGGGTCGGTGACAACAGACTAAACCGTGTGTGAGTAAACTGAAGTGCACCAAAACTCATTACCACAACTTGTAAGAATTGTTAAGCGATTACGATAATCAAAAGCAACAACAAATACAAAATAAAATTGTAGCATTGCATAGCAGTGACGGTCAAAACACCAAAACTAAGGAAAATATTATAAAACATATATTTTACAGCTGGACAGTGTAGTGAGAGAAAATTCAGTGCAATATTTGAGAACCGATTGTGGACATTTTGAAAAGCTTTAACTTAAAATCATTAAAAAAAAAACCGATTTAGTGACCCCTGCATGTGTTAGCATTTTGAGGGCCTCAACAATAAAGACTTTGAGATGGAGCAGTAATATTAGCACGTTGACTAATTATACAAACGTAAGCAAGTGAAAAGTTGTAGAGAGTTAACTAGTAAACTTAAAAACTACGTTGTAACAGAAATCAATACGTAGGCAAGGCAAAGCACAGCCATTTTGTAGAGTTTAGTTAAGAAGTTAATAAAGGCAGTGACAAACTTAAATGAGCTGAGCTTGTAATCCGCACGCACAAACTTGTTTGGCCAGCATTAATGCGTAACTTAAGTGAAGTCGAGCTGGTTTCGACTACACGGCCAACAAGTGGAGTTGCGTTGCGTTAGCGCATAAAATGTGCATGCCACTTTTAATAGCGCTAAATAATTTTAATCAATGTGAAATTTACTATTTTTATTTGTATACTACTTGAGGCAACAACAAAGAAGTTCGGTGTATGCCACTTTAACGTGAACTTTGTTGATATCTCAAGCACAAATGATTCCTACATAGCTTATAAAACGTGATGACTTGCCATTTATAGCCTGCGCAATGACTCACTGGCATACCTAAGGCTATGCGCAGAGTGCAGCAAAGCGACACAAGCAACAAAAGTAAGCAAAGTGCGTTTCAATTCAACACGCAAACTTACTTTTGTTGGCTTTGCCTGACTTTGACTTTGCTGCGCGCATGCGCTAGACTTTACACAAATAATAATAGCATCTTATCTAAACGTTGGAACTTCAATGCATTACTTTTTTACGTTTTTGAAGTTCTGAGTCGTGTAGATAGGCAAGAAATACAATAAAGCAAATAAGAGTACGGTAACAAGAAAACTTTATACGAACATTTAGTAACCAAAACACGAATGCAAACTCAATATTTACTAGAAAATCTGCTAAACTACTGTGTTAGGGTGTTTGCATAGGCGTTTGGGGCCATAGTAGTGTTTAGCGTTAGCTTAGAGTAAAGAAAGTGAGTACAATCATGCAGGAACTACTTGAAACTATGCATACAAGCGCTAAAAAATAACAAGCGTTTCTTTAACTAGTAACTTATGTTATAACAAAAACAACAATATGAAAATTACAAACATCAATGCGTAAGCATAAGCAAAAAAATTATAACGCCACATACATATATGTATATCTAAACACTAAAATACGCCTACATATAGTAATAAAAAAAATATATATATATATACAAATTATAGTTGTAAGTTTGCAAACAAACACTTGCTATAGACATTTAGTGTAATTGTAAGCGGCAAATATTGTGTTATGTGCGCGGAGTTTGTGTGATTGTTAACTGCGTTCTTTTATTATATTATATAAACAAGCATATTTTATTTTGTGGGTTATAGACGCATAAATTCATAACGATTCTTGTGCTGACGATTTTTTAAAATGGTTTTTTATATTTACTTACTTTTTTACAAGTCGTTTCTCGGCTGCCACAATTGCTTGCAACATGAGCACTGTGTTTTCAACTTCGCTTATTGTATGAAGCTTAGCCATAACTGTAATTATTATTTTTGTTAAAAAAAATTTTTTTTTTTTGAAGAAAACAACTAACGGTTGATCCGAGTAGTGGTACTTTTTTCAATTGACTTTTTTTTTGACAGATCAAAGTCACGTAATCAAGATCAAGAACTCGAAAGGGATCACGCTTTAGAAAACACGCTGCTTGTGTTGCAGCGACGTTAATGGGCAAACTTATTTTTTATTTAAAAAATAATATATATGTATATATAACTGTTTATTTGTGATTATTTTTATATACTCGACTTAATGATTCTGTTGCAACGCCACAGGCCGTCTCAATGGCACTTGTAATGTGTGTAATTGTTTTTATTTGATTTTATGTAAACTGACAATAATTTATATTTTTAACCACAACAAACCAATAATTTACTATATATTATGCACTATTTTTTTTTAATTTTTATAAAATCTATTTTTTTTTTTAAATTTTTATAAAATCTATTTTTTTTTT